GTCAACTCAGGTGAGACAGAACCACTCTTGTCAACTCCAGGTGATGAAAAGAACCACTCTTGTCAACTCCAGTGATGACGGAACCATCTTTTTCAACTCCCGGTGAGACGTAACCACTCTTGTCAACTCCAGGTGATGACAGAACCACTCTTGTCAACTCCAGGTGATGACAGAACCACTCTTGTCAACTCCAGGTGATGACAGAACCATTCTTGTCAATTCGTTAAGGCAAAAGCACTCGACCAGCTGTGCAGAATGGAAAGAGCGTAGAGGAGAAACACACACACACACACACACACACACACACACACACGTACTCATATACAACAGGCCTAGTGTCTAATCGACATGTGCCTAGGACAAAATGGTAACTAACACACACACACACACACACACACACACACACACACACACACACACACACACACACACACACACACACACACACACACACACACACACACACGCACACACACGCCGTCGGTGCTAGTCACGCCGTCGGTGCTCCGGGGATTTAAGTGTTTTTGGAGGGCTACAAGTGTTCTGCAAGGGTTGCTAAGTGTGTCAGGGTAGTCAGCAATCCTAGAAGTGTTTTTTTTTAATTGCCTGAGCCACACAAGTGTGGGGAGAGCCACAATTTTGAAAGTGATCTGGAAAATAAAAGCGTTGTGGCGCAGGCTAGTGTGAAGGCGGCGTTGCCAAGTGTCACCCAAGATTTTAATAAAGTGAAACAATAGTGTGACCAGTGAAAGAAATACAGTGAATAGGGTACATTATTAACGAGAAGAAATTGAGGTGGATCTACGCCAGGACGTACATCGAGCTGGATCTACTCCAGGACGTCACATCGACCTGGACAACCTACACTGCTACAACTGCACTACAAGTACTGTATCACCTATGAGTGGTTGTTTGGGTGTGGGTCCAGGTTCCAATTTAACCGCCAAGCTGAATGTGAATGGTCTAACTCTCATAGCACGATAAAGAATAGGCACTCAAGTATTCAATAAGGTTTAGCAAATGGTAATCCATTGAACAAGGCGATTAACTCACTATAAGCAGGTGATATAGGCAACACTGCAAGGGTGGGAGTCAGGTCAGAAGAGGTTGTGGACACAAGCGACAACTGAGAATCTACATTACACTCCAAGCACAAGCCACCTACCTTTCAGTACATAATAAACCCACACATAATTCCACACACAATTACACACAAAATTACACACACACACACACACACACACACACACACACACACACACACACACACACACACACACACACACACACACACACACACACACACACACACACACACACACACACACACACACATATCCAGACACACACACACTCCCCCCTCACCACCGACATCTCACTACTTCCCCTGATCCATCCCCTCCCTCGATCACCCTCCCCTCCCCCGTTCACCCCAAACCCTCCCACCCCTCCCCACTCAGCTCCCAAATAGCCACAGTTCCTCCACTACTTCCCCCCCACACTCTGACACACACACTACTAACCTAACATACAGAACTACATAGGTTTCCCACTCTGAGGCAATCAGGATAAAACAAAAATGGGTTGCCAGAGAGTAACAAGAAAAACCAAGGGACAGGAGGAGGAAAATGCACAGGAAGATTGGGCAGCAGAGCTCATAAAAAGGGATCATGAATGGGAAAAGAAACTAGAAGAACTTAGCATGAGAATGGAAGAGAGGATAGATATGGAAAGCAGGAAGTGGGAGGTGCATGTCAAAGCAGCAGAAGCTAGGATACAGAGTTTAGAAGAGGAACTGAAAAATCTGAAACAGCCTAAAGAACTAAAGAACATTTTGGGATTGACAACAGAGACTGCTACCTCAGCCACAAATAAGGGGACTGTAGGGAAAGAAGGGGCACAACTGCATGGAGATGCTCTATCAGAGGAGACTGTAGCAAATGAAAGAGCTAAGCTTTATGTGGAGGCCCTAACAGACAACAACAGAGCCCAAGGAAAGCCGAGAAGGGAAAATGACAGGCCACTGAGCCCAAGTACATTAGCCAGTGAAACTGATGAAAGGAAAGCTGCAGTGGAGGAAACCAAATTAAATGAGGGGATACACAGGGATATGCAGTGGGAGAATGAAAGGGTGAGGTCAGTCTTTGTGTATGGGCTCCAGGAAGTCGAAGGGGAAACATATGAAGCAAGAAAACAATCAGCGAAGAGGTGGGGCCAGGAGCTGTGACTCGACCCCTGCAACCACAAATAGGTGAGTACACACATCGGGTGTATAATCCTAGCTAGCGCATGCATGCTCCGTTGTGAACCTGACGTACGTTGTGTATGACGTCCTAAATTGTTTTTTCAAGGTTCTTGAAAGCATTTCTAGTTTTGTGTACTGTATGTCGCTAAGGTTATACGGTTGATATGTACTTACGATGCAATAATTACAGTTAGAGAACACTTCTGTCACTATTCAAGGCTCACAACTCTTTAAGCGTTTAAAAGCAAATGTAAAAAAAAATGGCGTTGAAAGTTAGCTTTCTAGAGGAAATTGGGCAAGTTCGTGCAAGATGTACTGGGTCTGGAAGGGTCTGATGTCTGTCTGCAGGCTGTGGGTAATAAAAGCCTAGCTGATTATGATACATCTTTCTTTCCTACGTTCTAAAGAGTACAGTTCGAGGTACTTAGGTTAAGCTAGATAAGATTCGTCAGGAAATAGGACAAGTGTTTCTGACGCGGATCTTAGTCATATGATAACCAGCCACTGGAGCGTTTGGTCATCTGACAGAGGCCTTCTGCTAGCTTACCGGTCCACCTCTATAAAAAATGAGTAGCATATGCATCTAGGTACTTAAAGTGTTTCCGGTAATTAGGTGTTTGAGGTTATTCAAACAGTGAAGGCTTAGTATACAGCAACATTCCATCTGAGAGAGAGGAAGTAACCTGATGAGTATCATCATTGGCTTGGCCCCTTTTGTTTTAAAAGTTCTATTTATCCAACCTCTCCTTTTCTACCGGGTTGTCATCCTTGAAAGTGAGAGCCTCTGGCATTATTAAGTCTATCCCATTAGACTTCCGCTCTGTTCAGTGACTGAGTTTTTATTGTACCCCGAGCTCATTTATATTTTCACAATTTTACCATAATGTAACTGGAATTTTTCCTCATTGGCCGTTCGTCACGGCCACACTGGCTGGCGGGAAATTCATCTGTAAAAACTTGCATTTGTGGTCACAGTGGGACCCATGCTAACCTCCCTATGGTGTATATAAATATACCTAGTTCGATGAATCTTGTAGCTAGCTGGCCCAGTGGCTTACGCACTGGCCTAGAGTTTTACGACTCTTTTGCCGCGAGTTCAAGCCACAACACTGTATCTACACTGTATCACAACAATGTATCAACCTCATCCGCTAGGAAAATGATAGGATGGATAATGAGAACCTTCAAAACTAGGGATGCCAAGCCTATGATGATTCTCTTCAAATCACTTGTGCTCTCTAGGCTGGAATACTGCTGTACACTAACGGCCCCCTTCAAGGCTGGCGACATTGCAGACCTGGAGAGTGTACAAAGAACTTTCACGGCACACATAGGTACGATAATGTACCGAAACTACTGGGAACGGTTGAAGGTCCTTGATCTGTATTCCCTCGAACGCAGGCGAGAGAGATACATGATAATATACACTCGGAAGATCCTGGAGGGATTGATACCAAACCTGCACACGAAAATCGCTCCCTATAAAAGCAAAAGACTCGGCAGGAGATGCAGCATTCCCCCGATGAAAAGCAGGGGCGCCACGAGTACACTGAGAGATAACACAATAGTGTCCGGGGCCCAAGACTGTTCAGTTGCCTCCCAGCATACATAAGGGGGATTACTAATAGACCCCTGGCTGTTTTTAAGAAGGCACTGGACAGGCACCTAAAGTCAGTACCAGACCAACCGGGTTGTGGTTCGTACTTCAGCTTGCATGCAGCCAGCAGTAACAGCCTGGTTGATCAGACCCTGATCTCAGACCGGGCCGCGGGGGCGTTGACCCCCGAAACCCTCTCCAAGTAAACTCTAGGTATCCGTATAGTGGTTTGATAGCGTTCTCGGATGGTGCATCGACCGGAAAAACACTAGTTTAAGCAGGAAGGTCTGAGCACAGCAGATTATCTTTCTGGTCAAGACAAGATACAGTCCGATGTACGCAACAGGAGTACAGTGCCTGACAACAAAATGTTGTCTTCTTGAGTGGGATCTATGACATGTTAGATGAGGATTTATTCTTGCCCTAGGCTAAGGAATTACTCTTCGGTCTACGATAATTGTTTCATAAAATTACGGGCTCATGAGTGAATTCTTCCATAGCCAGCATGTAGCTCAGAAGTTGGCTTTAGAACTTTGAACAAACTGCAAGCTCTTTAGCAGATGATGCATATGCTCTGTAGCATGCACCTTTTACCAGCTTATTTGTACTTGGCGTAAAACCTATAAATCGAAAATGGAAAGAAGGCAAGGTTTGTCAATCCTGGTCCAGGACAGACAAAAATGCCATCTTGTTGGCATTTGGTAAAAAGACGCGTACAGCAAAATGAGACCTTTAATAGTACGACGTTCTAGCGCTTTCGTTGATTATAATAATTAGTATGACGTCACCTACATGATGCTTTATTAAGTACAGATAAAGCTTGATAGGGCCTCATGTGAAACCGTGTTAATAAGGTTTCATTTAGCTTTATGTGAGCCTTTTTATCACTTGACGGCTATGTAATACTCCAACACGTGTTAAGATTTCCAATTTGTGAGTTCTAAATTCTTGCATCCAGGGTATTATGGCTTTTATTATTCAGTTATTCACTATTGGTTACTGCCAGGGTGGTCTCCATCGAGGGTGTAAACCACGTGATATTATTCTGTCTTTTCCTAAATGGTGGATCGAAGCCTGAGCCGTGACTAGTATTGCTAGTGCCTTTCCTGCTTCATTTAATTTTAACTAAAACCTAAACTCATAGCTAGATAGGATTTCATGGACACGAGGTGAGTAGTAGCAGTTAGGTTGAGTGTCTCGCCATTTAACAGGATAGATCTTCCACTACTACATGTGTTCCCTTCAAAGGGATGTCTTGGTGCTGGTAAAGAGCTCCTGATTCTAGGAATCAGGGCATTACATTTATGAAATCAATCCAGATTACTTTCATTCCCAGGTACTGTAACAACCTTTACGGGTTTATAGCTTGTCCTTGGTTATCATGATATTCTTTGGGCGCTGTATCAGCGTATGATTCGCACGATTGTTTTTTATTTTGCCGTAATGCCTTGTTGCAGGAATGGAGCATCAGTTCACATACCAGAGGATGAGTCGCCACCAGTGTTGGAGATACCATCGGAGCGACGCGCCCGCCGACGCTCGCACTATGTCGTATACGTTACTACCTTCGTCATGTCCATCGGCTTCTCCATCGTGTTGACGGGCGTGTGGCCTTACCTGCAACAAGTACGACACCTTCAGACAGTTAATAACCCACTACAGCCAAGTGGTACTGTATGGCTTATTTAAGTTTATTCAAGTTTACCTGGAGAGAGTTCCGGGGGTCAACGCCCCCGCGGCCCGGTCTGTGACCAGGCCTCGTAGGGTTAGGATATGTTTAATTTTTTACAGTAATCTTACATAGTAACATGTGTGTATATTACCTAGGATAACCCAGTAAAGCCAAACGAAGTGACTTATTTTCATCGCGATCCATCACTAAGACGCAACCAACAAGGGCAAACTATCTTTGGTTGTTTGAAAACATGCATGTCATTTCTATCCTGCAAGAGGTACCCCTTCCTTTTTTTTTTTTTTTTAGCTGCTAAGTGAACAGGGACAGCAGGTGTAAGGGGACTTGTACATATATCCCACCCACCCGGGATTCCAACTCGGTGGCTTGTGGCTCAATCCTTAGCAGTTCGCTCAGCGAACTACATAAGATTCTTTGCCTATCAGTAACTAGATACCTGGATTTTGTTGTACTGTTGTGGGTGGCATCCTGAGGATCAAAGGATCTCGGTAGATATATGCCACATTGATTACTACCCCCGGGTTAACAATCCGAATAAAATATTATGTTCGTTGTGAGATGAACAAATGAATGCGCTCCAGGAAGAGTTGGCATTAGGGGAGGCACAGGTTGCGTGAGTCTTGCCATTACCAGACGGAGGATCGATCTTCCGCCACTCCTGCTTTTAATCACACATACACCGGTTTGCTGTTTCGTATCAACAAATATAAAAGAAGTATGGTTTGAAAATAATGCAGGAGTTGAGATTCAACAATAGCAACAAGCAGAAATATGGTGAAAGAAGAGAAGCGGTAAATTCGTGAAGGTTTTACAGCGCCAGAGAAATGAGGTGATCAGGTTTGACTCGAAGGGAAAGGTGGTTTCAATTCCTTGGATAAGGTAGACCTTCGCTAGAATCAAGGCACCATCCTTGAAAGGGTGCTGTACATAAATAACAAAAAGGCACAATACCGTGACTGGAACGATACACAAATAACCCGCACATAAAAGACAGAAGCTTACGACGACGTTTCGGTCCGACTTGGACCATTGACAAAGTCACACTAACAGAGGAGGAGCAGGACGGCTATATATAGGCAGGAAGAGGTGGAGGTAGTAGTAGTGGTAGTAGTAGTAGTGGTAGTAGTACAAGAATTGTATATAATACCGACAGGATGAAATGACACATGCACAACACCCGGGCATCCCCACCGTAGACGTTTCGCCATCCAGCCAGCCACTGGATGGCGAAACGTCCACAACAAAGACAACCAGACGCCGCACATGTGTCTAATTTCATCAGTAGTAGTAGAAGAAGAAGAAGAGGTAGTAGTAGTGGTAGTGGTAGAAGTGGGAAATAAGAAGACGAGCCAGTCAAATACAAAGGAAGGGGAGCACTGCAAGAGAGCTAGAAACCCACAGAGGGAGAGCAAGCGCACCGAGGTGCGTGAAAGGGGAAGTGGTGAAATAAAATAAAGAAGGAACAGAAACACGAGACAGGAGAGAGAAAGACAACCCAGAGGAGAAAAGGAGAGAGGAAAGGGGAAGAGGAAGAAGAAAAAGAAGAAGAAGAAGAAGAAATGAGGATTCAGGTTAAGTCACGGGTGTTCTGAAGTTTGGAGCATTTTACAATGTAGTGGGAGAGGAAGGCATCTACAGAGACGAAGCCAGGGCTAAGGTTCATACATACGGCTGCTGCAACTAAGGAAAGTTGTGTATAAGAGAGGATTCAACTAAACGGCGACTGTTCGAGTTGGAAGTAGGGAAGACAGTTTTAGCAGAAGACCAGTCAATAGGATGGCTATGATCTCTGACGTGACAGAAAAGAGCATTGTTAGTGTCGGCAAGCCTAACACTATTTTTGTGCTCCCTAAGTCTGTCAGAAAGAGATCGACCAGTTTCTCCAAAGTACTTTTTGATGGCTGGCAGTTAATACGTTTTATCTATTTGTTTCATTTGAGATGTAATCTAGTATACAGTACTATACTAGGGTATTAAAAAAGTGTCAGCTGATTATGATGTCTCTGATGTGTAGAAATAGTTTGGCGTATTTTCTTGGTCAGGTACAGGAAGATGCGGATTTTATTCACCCGAGGAATTACACACTATTATTTGATTCCTTTTTATATAATTATTTTTTAAGAATCTCGTTTGTCGTGCCCATAATATATGTATATATAATTATTGTATATATAAATATGTATATATAAATATGTATATATAAATATGTATATATAAATATATATATATATAATTATTGCAGGTGTATGGTATAGGAGGTAGGTTACTGAAAGCAGTGAAGAGTTTTTACGAGGATAGTGAGGCTCAAGTTAGAGTATGTAGGGAAGAGGGAAATTATTTCCCAGTAAAAGTAGGCCTTAGACAAGGATGTGTGATGTCACCGTGGTTGTTTAATATATTTATAGATGGGGTTGTAAGAGAAGTAAATGCGAGGGTCTTGGCAAGAGGCGTGGAGTTAAAAGATAAAGAATCACACAAAGTGGGAGTTGTCACAGTTGCTCTTTGCTGATGACACTGTGCTCTTGGGAGATTCTGAAGAGAAGTTGCAGAGATTGGTGGATGAATTTGGTAGGGTATGTAAAAGAAGAAAATTAAAAGTGAATACAGGAAAGAGTAAGGTTATGAGGATAACAAAAAGATTAGGTGATGAAAGATTGGATATCAGATTGGAGGGAGAGAGTATGGAGGAGGTGAATGTATTTAGATATTTGGGAGTGGACGTGTCAGCGGATGGGTCTATGAAAGATGAGGTGAATCATAGAATTAATGAGGGGAAAAGGGTGAGTGGTGCACTTAGGAGTCTGTGGAGACAAAGAACTTTGTCCTTGGAAGCAAAGAGGGGAATGTATTGTTTTACCAACACTCTTATATGGGTGTGAAGCATGGGTGGTGAATGTTGCAGTGAGGAGAAGGCTGGAGGCAGTGGAGATGTCATGTCTGAGGGCAATGTGTGGTGTGAATATAATGCAGAGAATTCGTAGTTTGGAAGTTAGGAGGAAGTGCGGGATTACCAAAACTGTTGTCCAGAGGGCTGAGGAAGGGTTGTTGAGGTGGTTCAGACATGTAGAGAGAATGGAGCGAAACAGAGTGACTTCAAGAGTGTATCAGTCTGTAGTGGAAGGAAGGCGGGGTAGGGGTCGGCCTAGGAAAGGTTGGAGGGAGGGGGTAAAGGAGGTTTTGTGTGGGAGGGGCTTGGACTTCCAGCAGGCATGCATGAGCGTGTTTGATAGGAGTGAATGGAGGCAAATGGTTTTTAATACTTGACGTGCTGTTGGAGTGTGAGCAAAGTAACATTTATGAAGGGGTTCAGGGAAACCGGCAGGCCGGACTTGAGTCCTGGAGATGGGAAGTACAGTGTCTGCACTCTGAAGGAGGGGTGTTAATGTTGCAGTTTAAAAACTGTAGTGTAAAGCACCCTTCTGGCAAGACAGTGATGGAGTGAATGATGGTGAAAGTTTTTCTTTTTCGGGCCACCCTGCCTTGGTGGGAATCAGCCAGTGTGATAATAAAATAAAATAATTATTTTAAGGGTTTTAAAATATTCTTAAAGTTTGTGTAAAGGTGAATTGCAGTATTAAACACCCACTTAGGCTGTAAATCTGATGTAACCAGTAGTGAGTTGACCTGTGTCCTGTGAATACGTTCTTAGTTGTCATCGTTAGTGTTGTTGAAATGTTAAGAATGTCTTTTCCAAGTTTTGAACAGCAGTACCTTCTGGTGAAGGAAGGTGATACGACTTCCTTTAAAGAACAAAAAGGTTCATCCCTAGAACGATGACAAGGATGCCAACCACAAGGAATAGACACTGATGGGCAAGCAAGGATTAAGCTGAAGATAAAGGTCGAAGCAGTTTTTACTGGGGATCTACTAAAGGAACGGCGGTATCGACTATGTTGATGGTATCGACCTTAAATTGAGGATCGGGATCAGTATTGGTAAAAACTGTGGTATCGTCCCATCACTAGATTTTACGACTATCAGTTCCATTGCTGTGCTGTCAGTGGAATGTGCGCATGTCATCGTGGGCACAAGCACAACCGCTAGTATAGTTAATAATGTTCTAGTTGTAGGCAGAGGGCATGTTTTCCTGGGGCTTGGATGGAGGATACAGTTAGCAGATTTGGAAACATCATGCGAGGTAATGGGAACATCCCTCTTATCTGCCTCAACACTGGAGGCAGTGATGATGGGAAGCCTGAGAGTGAAAAGACCTGCTTACCAAGTAGAGAGTAGCGACAGATGTAATTAGGGATAGGAAGGGATCATATGTAGCATTCTACCACGAACACCTGTATGACCTTTCTGGGTTTAGCGCTTAATTTTGATTGTAATCTACCACGGAGAGGGTTGGCAGAAAATAGTTGCCTACACACCTTAATTACTTATTGTCCACTAGAAGTTATACATTTTGCTGTGTAATATAATAATTAAAAATCATAAAAGACACTAAACCTCAGACGCCCGAGGAATGGGAAACTAGTTGAATTCAAGTCATGGAAGGAAAGGGAGGGGAAGTCCAGTTTCTTGGATCAAGATGCCTACACTGTCAAGACACATTTCTTGAAGGATATGGTGAGCATAAATGATTGCCAACTACTCACCAGAAGCACACTGTTGGCTACACAGGTGTGTGTAGTGTGTTGGCAGCCAGAATTGCCTCATCGTTGTTAGTTACTTTCCCAGACGTTCTTTCTCAACAGAAATGAGATAGACACTTTCTACCACCTTCTGTTTTAACGACCCGCAGCCCTTTACATATCAGGTATTTCGAAATCCTTCAAATAAAGACTGGTTTGTCAAGATATACGAGAGGTAAATACGCGCCTACCGGCTTTGTGGTGGACGCTCATCATGTAACGCCATATGCAAACTCCTATACAGCGGGAGATAAGAGAGATAAGATAAGATTTTGTTCGGATTTTTAACCCCGGAG